TCGTCACCGGCTTCAGTGTCGAGGAGAGCCTACGAGTGTGGGAGACTTAGGATACCCCTCCCTAAGAAAACGCTCACTAGGCGCGTGCGCATGTAGGGCCAACCCTACGGCAATTTCCTCGCGCCTTTGGCCACAGAGTGGCATTCAAAGGCCCGGCCGCGGGGCAAGCCGTTTCCAACCTTTCTCTCGATGCTCCTCGTAGAATGGCGTCATGATGGTTTCACGCTGGGACTGGGCAGACGCTGGCGAAGAGCAAAGTGCTAAGCATGTAGCCGCGATGTTGGATGTCGATTTGGTGGGGCGGTGTCATCGACCTCAAATCTCAACCGACCAAAGATAGTACGAAGTGTAAGCGAGAATCGGCACCGTACCCTTAAAAATTCAGCACTTACAGCAAGACGAGCCGGGCCTTGCCCAGCACCTCAACCCCAAGTCTCGAGTCCGTGTCGCGGGTTTGGCGTCTTGAGTCTTGCACTTGTGCCGATAAGGACCCGCTTGCATCTTGGCGAATGGCGAGGTTGGATCGCGCAAGAGTGCGAAGGCAGTGGTGCTGAGGACGGCAGAGGCAGTGCTGGCTAGCTGGCTTGTGGTCACCGGATCACTCCTCGATGACGTCCAAAGCAGAAGAACACCTGCATCTTCGATGTCGCCAATTGCCTGCATGCGCACGTGCTTCTGGCACCTCCAATGGAAAGGGAGCAACGCGGATGCATTCGTGAATGGATGGATGCACGGCTGTAAGGCAAAAAAGAAAAGCGAAGCAAAAACCATTTGTCCAGGCTATTCCTTCGCGGGTGCGGGAGCGTCGCGCCGCGGGATCTGTTGCGAACTCTCCTCTGGCGTGCTCTCCGACGTGTTCCGGAATGTCTGGACGGTTACTTGGCGTAGCGACTCTGCTCGGAATCGAACCGAGCAGGTTCTGCTGTTCAAACTACAACAGGCTACAACTAGCGCTCGTGCGCTAAACCCCTAGGCTATCAGTACGGTAAGCGTGGTCGGCCGCGTGCCCTTTTTAAGTGCACCACGCGTCACTTTTCGGACTCCGAATGTAAGCACTTGCGTCTCGATGCCTAAGTAGGTCCCGCAAGCTCCAAGATTCTAAGTTAAGATGGACTTCCTCTTGGATTCAAGAGATGTCAAGATTGTTCTGGCGGCAAGAAACTCAAGCAAGGGTTGATGCCGAGAGCGTCGAGGAAGCTTGGGCGACTGCACGTGCTGAGCGTATCATACGAAGGCGCAAAACTGCTGACATGCCGGAGTCGAAGTCAAGAGAAGACCGAGGCAAAGGAGAAGATGAATGCTGTCTCACAGGACAGTATATGCTCCGTGGGGGAAGCAGAAGGTACGATGGACAGCATCATGAAGAAGTTGAGCTCACTGCGAAATGGGCCTCCTAAACGTGCTTCCAACGCGATTCTCGCCTTCGGGCACACTGCTCACACCATAACGATCCGTGGCTTGCTGACTCGCACGAGAGGATCATCTCAAGCTGCAGCGCGATACGATTCCCGCTCACCACCGAAGAACTCACGACTGACTCAGACCCATCCTGGCTGTAGGCTGCGCGCACGACTCACTAGGCCAAACCCTCAGGATGGCTCGTGCCGAGCGACACTCACGTGATTCACGTGACGGCGCCGGCGCCATGCCGCGATGACGCATGCGCCCCAGCGCCTTCTTCTTCGTCTACCAAGCCTTTCTGGTTGCTCACACATTCACGTGATTGGGAAGGGTCACTCGTGCGGGGGGGATAGCAGCACACCCACGATGGACGATTCGGCAAGTCACGAGTCAAAAGTGCCGCCAGGAGCTGGACCCGATACTTGACTCACTGGCTCGTCACTGGCTCGTCGGGGACTGGACGCTGCTGTCCCTTAGTCGTGCGTCTCGTTGATGCTGAGAGCAAGACCACGACGCATACAGGACTCGTCTAAAAGGTGCACGTTGATCCACACCAGCATCAAAGCTCAAATGCAACTCACAGCTCGTTTGCGGGATGCGAGGATAGCGGAAAGGCCACGCGCCGCGATCAACGTTCGCCGTCCTCATCGATCGCGCTTGCGTGCATGCACATACGCTGCTACCACTTTTACTGACGACAGATGCTCGCCATGCAAGGGGTCGCGTCGCTCAGCACCACACCGCACCGCACAGCGGCTCAACTTCTATGCCAAGGGCAGCAATAGGCCCAGCAATCGTGAATCGCTATGTATGATACTCTACAACATCTCGCTATGTCTCGACCTTCGGAAATTCACACCACTACGTCGTTGCTCTTTCCGTATGAGTCTTTGAACAACCTTGCGGGATATTGCGAAACACTCACCAGCTACGAGCCAGCTTCACCAGCTCCTCTTCCGAAGCATTTGTCTAGCCGATCACCGCCGCTCACTTTCGTCAGCCAAGCATCCTTCGACTCGACCGCATCGACTGTAGGCTTGCTAGGTCAAACGCACCCCGTATATACGCCAACGACGTACTAGAGCAAGAGCACACTGCCAACAGATACCAGCACCCTCCGTGACAGGTGAGTGATGTGCTCAAAGCTGGTGGTGTCGGATGTCGGAGGTTGGGCAGAGCGAAAGCAACGCACCGGAGCTGATCAAGATTTTGCCGGCTTTCTTACGCACAGATCCGCAACGATGGCGCGTAAACGTCACAGAAAGTCCAAAGCACACAGCAACGAGGACGAACGCGAGTCTGGAGACGATGAACGCACCAGTCCCACCATCGCACCGACCGAACCTCGCCTGACCCCCCAACAAAGGGCTGGAATTCAGGTGGCTTACCAGAAGCGCCAGGCTGAGGCCCAAAAGCTCGCGGACCAAGTTGCGAAGGAACGTGCCACTGCTCGACTTGACCGCCTTCTCCAAGCTGGTCGCGAGGAAGTTCAGGCCATCCTCGAACGCGAAACTGCTGATCGTCGCCAACACGTGGAGCAGGAGATTGCTGATCGTCGTCGAGAGATCGCCGAAGAAGAAGCTGCTTTCCGCCAGCTCCGCCAACAGATGGAGCAGGAGGCTTCTGCTTTGCGCCAACAGATGGAGCAGGAGGCTTCTGCTTTGCGCCAACAGATGGAGCAGGAGGCTGCTGCTTTGCGCCAACAGATGGAGCAGGAGGCTGCTGCTTCCCGTCAGCGCATCGAGCAAGACGCTGCGCAGCAACGTCAGCAATCCGAATCGGCTTTGGCTGGCGAGATAGCGGAGGCTCGAGCGCGAGAAGACAGCCGCCTCGCCAGCGAATACACCGAGCGGGAAGATGACCTGAACCAGCAGCTGGAGGCCTACCGTCAACGAAGCGAGGCCGACATCGAAGCATCTCTGGCCCAGCGTTGGACCGATGGATGCGAGAAAGTCGATGACGAGCTTGCTCGCCAGTTGGAGCTTCGATTGGAGGAAGCGGCGGACGAGCTTCTAGAGCAGCGAGCGCAGCACACGGTGCCCGTTCTCCCTGCTTGGTGGCTCAGGAATGGCAGTGCACAACCGGCGGGAGCGCAAGGGGCTGACCAAAGAATGGAAGAGGACACAGAGCCGGGCGCAGAGGAGTGGGTGAACCCTGAGTGGCGAGCGATGTACCAGAGGAGCACGGTGGATGCGGCGCCGGGGACTGCGGCTGATCAACCGGGAACGATGCATGGCGACCGGCTCATCACGGATGACTCCAGTGAGGAGGGTAGTTCATGGTACTCCCCGACGGCGCAGTTCCGCCGCCACGTCCACGTTCCAGAGACGCCGAGTTTCGACCTCGAGGACATCGGCACTGCGGCTGATCAACCGGGAACGATGCATGGCGACCGGCTCATCACGGATGACTCCAGTGAGGAGGGTAGTTCATGGTACTCCCCGACGGCGCAGTTCCGCCGCCACGTCCACGTTCCAGAGACGCCGAGTTTCGACCTCGAGGACATCGGCACTGCGTTGGTCGATGCGCACAATGCTCCTCCGGCATCTGTCCACGGGCGCCAAGTCTCAGCCGACACCGACATCGGGGCTCCACAGCCTCCAGCCGAGGCTCCGTCCTCGCCATGAGCTGAGTGAGTGCTCCGTCCATGTGCGATGCCCATAGCGAGTGCACGAAGTTCGTCGCTGAGGAAGAATCGCCTTCGCGATCTAG